TGTTGGGTTTTGTTTGTTTGCTTCAGCAGTCATTTAACTTGGTTTGTTTCAAATTGCAAACTCTGTCTGTTGGTAGCTCAAACCTCAGTTTCGTTCTTCTGTCCTTAGCTGGTGTCTGTTTTGTACGTGTGTGGCTCAGGGATCAGACAGAACTTTGAACAGAGTTTATACACAGAACTGAGGCTCTGCCTTGCCAGCCTTCTCCTGTCTGATGTTCCCTCTTCACTTGCTAGTGACTGTGGTTGTCCCAAGCTCTGTCCTCTATTCTTCCAGCCAAAAAGACTGTTTTTCTATTGGAGACATAGCCACTCTAATAAAGGTGCCAACTTTTGCCGGGACCAGGTTAAAGGCGACATAAGGGAAGCTCGTGCCACTTTTATTTTCCAAGTATGGATTTTCTTGTTTGTTCTCCGGGACCCTCAAGTCATTGTTAATTTTTTGTTGTTTTTGTATGTTGTCCAGATTTCATAGATGTTATATGTAGAAAGGTTGGGTCTTATAGGAGTTAGGCAACCATAGTGGAAGTAGAATGCGCATATATACACATATATATGCAATATATATACACACACATAATATATATATATAGTTCCTTGTGTTTCTCTCTTCTGTGAGGAATTTGGTTATGTCCCTTTCCCATCCACTTCCTAAAATTCTTTTTATATAAATATTAGTCAACACATACAACATTATCCAATCTATGAACAATGCATAGGATTGTTTGGGCGAGAGTTTTAAATTTTTTTTTTTTTTTTTTTGAGACAGAGTCTCACTTTGTTGCCTGGGCTAGAGTGAGTGCCGTGGCGTCAGCCTAGCTCACAGCAACCTCAAACTCCTGGGCTCAAGCAATCCTGCCTCAGCCTCCCCAGTAGCTGGGACTACAGGCATGCGCCACCATGCCCGGCTAATTTTTTCTATATATTTTTAGCTGTCCAATTAATTTCTTTCTATTTTTGGTAGAGACGGGGGTCTGGCTCTTGCTCAGGCTGGTCTCGAACTCCTGAGCTCAAACAATCCGCCCGCCTCGGCCTCCCAGAGTGCTAGGATTACAGGCGTGAGCCACCGCGCCTGGCCAGAGTTTTAAATTTTTACACAAGTAACACCATGCAGTATTTTTTGTTCTACAACTTTTTTCCCATTCAGTGTAATATTTTGAGATCTATCCATGTTGATAAAATATAAATCTCTTTTATTCATTTTAAGTGCGGGACACTCTTCAATCTCATGGATGTACCCCTCAATTTATTTGTAATTTCTTCTGATGGATCTTTGGGCTACATCTAATTATTTTCTCTGCCAACAATGGTGCGACAATGTTCTTACACCTGCTTTTTTGGTTCTTTACCTGGACGTACAGTGCTTTGACTTCACCAGCTTGATACAGCTCTCTCCAAAGTGATCACACCAATGTGCATCCCAACCAGCGTATGTGAGAATGCCCTGCCTCAAAATGTTAACAGTGGTGATCTGTGAACAGTAACATTTCAAGTGATTTTTTATTTTTTTTTTTATACTTTCTGTCACTGAATTTTTTTTCCCTGAGCAGTTATTGTCTTTATAACAAAAAGTAAGGCTTTTTGTTACCAAACCAATAGCAGAACCTGCTCTTTCTCTCATGCCCCCACCATCCCAGGTGTCTACAACTCTCTCCTCTCTCCGACTGTGCCCTGCACGTACTGCTTTAGTTCTCTTTCTTTCTTTAAGACAGAATCTCACTCTGTCACCCAGGCTAGAATGCAGTGGCGGCATCACAGCTCACAGCAACCTCAAACTCCTGGGCTCAAGTGATCCTCCTGCCTCAGCCTCCTGAGTAACTGGGACTACAGGTGCGCACCACCACGCCCAGCTAATTTTTTCCATTTTTTTTTTTAGAGACGGGGTCTCACTCTTGCTCAGCTGGTCTCAAACTCCTGAGCTCAAGCAATCCTCCTGCCTGAGCCTCCCAGAGTGCTAGGATTACAGGCCTCAGCCACCGCACCCGGCCTGCTTTAGTTCTTAAGTATACTTATTTGTGTATTTATTTTCTCGTATTCTCCTCAACTATTTAGCACGCCCCTTGAGGGCAGGAAGTATACCTCACTCATCTCTGTCACTGTGAGATTTGCACTGCTGGGCACAAAGCACACGGGAAATTGCAGATGGATACTGCCTTCCCCATCACACAAATGAGGAAAAGCTCAAAAAATTTACCCAGGTCACACACCCACCCTTGGGACAGAAACCCAAGCTGAACCTTCCGACTTTGAACTCCCCTCCTGGGCTAAATGACTTGCCCAGGAGCGCTCGGCTGTGAGCGTGGGAGAGACCAGAAGTGGGGGGCCCAGTCTCTGCTCCTCCAGTGACAGGAGCCTGGCTCCTCGGGGTGGACCGACTACTTGGTTTGCCGCAGATTTTGTGCCCGGACAGGAATCGGTAATTCACTGTGGATGTCAGTTACAAGTTCTGGGCAGCCTGCCTAATCTCTGGAGTCACTTAAAATCTCTGTCGTTACTGCAAAAGTGAATGTTTGGACAATTTATCCTGTGCTTCCTGTCAATAGAGACACCCTGGAGTCCTCATTTTAGCGTCGCGTTTCATTGTTTTAAGCCGAAATGCGCCGATGTGCTTTCAACGCATTATCACTGTAATCGCTTTCTTTTGCTGTGGAAATGATCGGGAAATTGTGCTTTGATACAGGGAAGGGTGACAAGGCCATGCGGTGCTAAGCTAGGATTCCACAATTACCGTTTGTAAAAGGGGAACTGTTATCAAAGAAGCCGCAGGAGAACATCTTGGGGCCACCTCTCGGAGTCAGGAAATTTGAAACATATATTTCACAGACGCACATTTCACTGTAAACCTCTCTGCATAATGCATGAGATTTGATTTAATGTCATTGTTAATTCTGGTGCTCACAATGGTGCGCTCTTAAGGGAGCCATCATTTTTATTTCAGTTGTTTTTTTTTCTGGCAATAGAACTGAGACTGTTTTAGGGTTGTTCTGAATTGTGTGCGCATAAGACGCCTTCCTGGGGAGGGAGGCAGGTGCTGGGCGAGGCGCTTCGGAGGCCGTGGCGGGGAGACAGGCGGCCAACTGCCTTGGTAGCCCGCCGGGCCGGGTCTGGGCTCCCTGTGCCTGGCCGTGCTTGGTCAGAGCTGGAGGGTTGTGTTTCAAGGAAAAAGAATGAATGGTGAATGAATGAAAAGAAGAAGGCTTTGCAGCGGAATAGAAATGAAACAATTTCAATTTTCAAGATCAGTTTTAATCAGTTTTCAAGATGCACAAAAAATCATTCTGGCCTGGGGTGGCTGGGAGTGACAGAACCCTAGAAACGGAAAAGACAGACAACGTACGATGAAAGGATTGGGAGCGAAACGTGAGTGAAGGGAGGGGGAAGGCAGAGGCAGTGAGCAAGGAGCTGGGGGGAGAGGAGAGTCCAGAGGACACCACTGAGGCAGCAGGCCCCGGGGCTCCTCTGAAAGCCCAGGGCTTGGGGCTGGGTCCCTCACTGTCCTGTCCCTGGAGCCCTGGGACAGTGAGGACATGAGCTTGGCCCTGCAGCTGGGTGAGGGCTGGTGCCTCTCAAAGACATCCATGCAGAGGGCTGCCCGGGGCTCCAGCCATCTGCACACTCCAGGGACATTCGCAAACCAGTCCTCTCTGCTTAGGGCAGCTTGCAGCTGCGGAAGAGGTGTGCCCGGTGGGCCTTATAGCGTTAAAGAGCATGGATGGCTGTCTGGGCGGAACAAAACCTACTTGAACTCAAAGATCTAGATGGTTCTGGTACAACGAGGAAATGTCCAAGATACTGTATGGCAGCAGAGTGATCTTCCATGTCCACATCGGGCTGTCGGCTCTCACCATCAGCTCGTGTGCAGGCAGGAACAGAGGCTCACAGAGGTTAAACTTGCTCAGCATCACGGCACATGATGGAGCTGGTTCTAGCTCGGGCATTATGGTTTCTGAGCCGGCGTATTACTAGTCCGGGGAGCCACCCCTCCCCCACAGCCAGGTCTGGGCGGGGCTTTACCCCAGCCTCAGGGGTGGGACCCATAACCCAGGCCTAAGCCAATCAGAGCCTTCTCTGGCTGCAGCGATTGGTCCAGGTGGGCATGTGACCTAAGCTTGTCTAATCAGGGTGAGTCTGGAGACCTTTTGCTGGGAATGTGGAAGGAAGATGTAGATCCTTCTCCACTATATTTGAGGGGAACACGGGGCCCATCTTGCAAGCCCAAAGGGTCCACCTGAGACTGCAGTCTCCTGACATGGCCTAGAGCCCTCAGGCAGGCTGACTGCTTCATGCCCAATTCTCCACCTCCCCATATCCACCCCTTTTCCAAATAACTTGCAGTGCCCTCCCACTGGGCCCCTGGGCTTGGCATGAGGCTGGCTTTGGCCAGTGGGATGAGGGTGTTCAGGACATCAAGGCTTGAATGCTACTTGCACTAGTTCTTGCGTGTGCACCTTTGCCTACACCCCCGAGTGAGTGCCCACTAGAAGGACATGAGACCTGCAGGAGCATGGCGTCTCCAGCTGACAGCCAGCCCAGCCCAGACATGTTAGTGAGCCCCTCAAGCAGCAGAAAGGACCACCTGGCAGGCCCACTGACTCGTGGGTGGTCAGAAGCAGCTGTTGCTCTCAGTTGCTGGGTTTGGGTGGTTTGTTACACAGCATCGCAGCAGCAGATGACTGACACAAGCCCCAAGCCAATGAATTCCCGTTTTCAGTCAAACCATGTTGGGTTATGATTCAAAGGAATCATCCTGGCCGGGCATGGTGGTGCACACCTGTGATCCCAGCACTTTGGGGGTCTGAGGCAGGAGGATTGCTGGAGCCCAGGAATTCGAGGCTGCAGTGAGCTATGATCGCGCCACTGCACTCTGGCCTGAGCACCAGAGCAAGACCCTGTCTCAAAAACAAAAAATCATCCTCACAGATACGTCATCTTATCATGGCTCACAGCTCAGGAGCCATGGAGAAGGGCCCAAGAATATGAAGCAGGGAATTTTCACCAGAAGGTTCTGAGTCTGTTTAATGCCTGGTCATTTTAACAGACAGCAGGTTTATAAAACGCATGTGCACAGACGATCGGCAGCGATGGTGTGTTTCCAACGCTAGCGGTGTCTCCTGGCTGCTGTCGGGGGACTCGGGGGCGGGATGGACGTGGCATGGCCTGCGGCACATCTGTCTGCGGCATTCCCTTTGGCGACGGGGCCACCCTGCTTGCCTGCTCCCGCAGCACTGGGGGCCTCCTGGGCGACGAAGACCTTCTCGTAGTACTCGATCAGCAGTTCGGTGAACAGGTTCAGGGGCACGAGGGCACTCAGGGAGGACACCCCCTGGGACGGCCAGATGAGATTCAGTCCAAAGACACAGGCCAGGTTGGAGCTGTTCATTTTGTTAAAAATGCTCTCGCGGGACACCTGGAACAGACCACACGTGGGACAAGGGCAGTAGCAGCCTGGCATTCCCCCCTAAACCCCGGAGCGACTTGTGTAGTGAGAAGAGCAGTGGACTGGGAGCCACCAGCCCATACCACCTCCCCACTCGGGGCCTCAGTTTCCCTAACTGTAAAAGGAAGGGATTGGCCTCGATGCTGTGCCTTTGTGGTCTGCCTTCTGGGATTTCCTCAACACCCCACCACCTCCTCTTCTACTGCAGCGGACTCGGGAGTGGGGGGCTCTAGCACAGCCAGCCTGAACCAGGGACCTCTGACCTCTGCACTGTGGCTGGTGAACCAGGTGTGAGCAAGACCAGCCAGCATGCGGGGGTTGCTAGGAGAGATGACAGCGGAAAGAGCTTGCTGAAGGGGCTCCCTGTTCATCTCAGAAAACATGGCACTCCCAGGAGTGCAGTTCAGTCCTTGCTATTTTTTTTGAGATAGGGTCTTGCTTTGCTGCCCAGACTGGCCTCAAATTTTGGGCCTCAAGTGATCCTCTGCCTCGGCCTACTGCATAGCTGGGATTACAGGCTCTTGCTGCTGTGCTTGGCTTCATCCTTCCTCACCTTACACACGAGAAAACCGAGGCCTAGAGGGTACAGGAAGCTTGCCCAAGGCCATGTGGCCCGTCAGTGGCAGGGCCTGTTCTTGTCTCCCTGCCAGGTCGAAGCTGGGGACCTCAGAGAATCAGAAGCAGAGATAATCTGAGCTGTGAGTGCCAAGGGCTGGGGGGGTGGGGTTCAGCTGGGCGTCGCCCTCCCGGATACCCCCACCCGCCGGCCCTCCCACCCCGTCAGTTGTGCACTAGCTAAGTGAGCTGTGGGCCACCCCTCTCTGGCCATGCTGATGGTTGAACACGATGTGACACCGAATCCCACCAGACGCATTAAGATGGGTGCTTGTGGAGGAGGCCAGAGAAATAAGTCTGTCTCCCACTGATGGAAAAAAAAATAAATAAGGAGAGTTAGGGGAGTAAATTTTAGTTTTGGGACCACTGAGAAATTTTATCAAGCGATAGGGAGAATGAGATAGCTTTAAAATCAGGTGATGACATTATCTGCCGGACTCTCGCACGTGATACTTGCTCTCCCCTCCCCTCCCCGGCAGGCGCTGCCTCCTCATGCCTAACCCCACCTGGCCGGGGGTCCCTGGGGGCCGAGGGGTGGCCTCCTCTGGATCTGTGGGGTTCCCCTGCTGACCTCACAGGCTTTCGCTCCAAACGCCCCCCTGGCCCAGGAGAGGAGCTGGGCCCAGGCCAGAGCAGCGAAGGGGCCTCTCCCCTCGTCCCTGCTCTTATCTTGCTGTGGTGCGCCAGGCGGGGGCCCCACAAAGACAGGGCCACCCGGAGTCCGTGAGCGCGACCTTATTTAAAACCAGGGTCTTTGCAGGTGCCGCCGAGTTGAGAATCTCAAGATGAGAGCACCTCGGCTTCTCTGGGTGGGCCCTGAATCCAGGGACCAGTGTGCTTGTGAGAGAAGGTTGGAGGCAGAGGAGAGAAAGCCCCGTGAGGACGGAGGCAGGCACTGGAGTGACGCAGTCACCGGGGCCACTGGGGGCTGGAAGACGCAGGCAGGACCCTCCCCTAGAGCCTCTGCAGGGAACGTGGCCCTGCACACTCCTTGATTTTGGACGTCTGGCCTCTAGAACAGTGCGATGGCAAATTTCTATCGTTTAAGCCACTAGCTTGTGGTCCTTTGTCCCGGCAGCCCCAGAACCTAATGTGCCTGGCAAGGGCGTGCCTTCCACAGCAATCGTCTGCTCAGTCCACGGGGGCCGACAGTGCGTGGGCTCAGGACACAGCCCCCACCTGCCGGAGACTCGGCCTAAGCAGGTGACTCGGGAGCTGAGGACCCCAACAAGAAAGTCACTGGCCGTGACTGAGGGACAGCCAGTTGACCCTACCTGGCTAGGGGGTTCTCAGCAGAGCTGTTGCCTGAGCAGGCCTTGGATGGAGTCCTTTGCTGGCCGGGGAATGGCGTCCCCAGGCTGAAGGAGGGTGTGACCCCAGACCCGGGGCGCGCAGGGGGGCTGGTCTGCGCAAGCACCGCCGTGGAGGGGAGAGGCCACCAGGGCCGGGCGGGAGCCTGGGCCTCCCCCGAGCACCCTGCTCTGCCCACTCACCGCATGCAGGAAGCCCATGAGGTAGCTGAGGACGGCGTGGTTGTGCTCCGGGAGGCCCCGCAGGATCTGGCGGCAGTGGCCGACGCGCAGGCTGCTCTCCACACCTGCAACGGCACCAGCACCTTCCTGAGCGGGCTCCGGAGGGCGCCCTCCCCCAGGAGGAGGGCATAGTACTAGCATCTCCCGGGAAGCCGGTAAAGCCCGATCACTTCATAAACAGGAATAGTCTAGACCAGGGCTCGGCAAACTACAGCCCACAGGTCAAACCCGGCCCGGCGCCTGTTTTTGTCAGTAAAGTTTTATTGGAACACAGCCACGTTCGTCCGTCGGCACGTTGTCCACGGCTGCTCTTGTGTGACTTGTGGCAGAGCTGAGTGATTCCAACAGAGGCTGTATGTGTGGCCCACGGCGCCAAAATACTTACTATCTGGCCCTGCTCTGGACTAGCTACTTGTTTACGATTCTCACACCATGTTGCTCTCCGGCAGCGTCCTGTGCTCCAGGGCCTGGATGTAACTGTCCCACACTCCGAGACCCACAGTTTCCCCACATCCTCCATTTGAGCTCTGCGACCTTCAAATCGGCCAAGTCCTCACCAAGCTCCCACTGCAACACGCACGCACATGCTCACCTGCTGTGGCGTATCCGTGTCATCCAACACACTAACCCCCTCCCGCTGAGTGCAGAGTGAACGCTCTGTGTGCTCTACAAACACACCCACAGCTGAGACACACAATTCCCTGCTGTGAAAATTCTTGCTGGTGTTTTAATAAAAGCCATCATTTCGTGAAATAAAGCTGTTGTTATCCAGTAACTTGAATGGACAAGGAGTTCCCTTGAAATGAACGTTTCCAAGGAGCCACCTGAGCCTGGAGGCCACCACCCCGAGCCTTTGGATATTCCAGCCCGAACCTCGTTTTTCTGAGAATTATGGTCCCAGAGTGGATATTGGTGCAGGGTCACCTCAGCTCTATGTCCCCTTGAGATGGAGCACGTCCCAGCAAGCGGGCAGGACCAGCTAGCCGACTGTCACAACAGCCGGCGTCATTGGGCACATACCAGTGCCAGCAACCATGCCAAGCATTTTAGGCACCTTTAATCCTCAAAATAGCCTCAATCTATATAAATGAGGAAAGTGAGCTCAGAGAAGTTAGGTGACTAGCCCAAGGTCACACAGCTAGTGAGTGGCAAAGCTGGGTCTTGAATCCAAATCTGTTGAGGGCTGAGCCGGTCCCCTGGACCTCCCTGCTCTTCACTGAGCGGCTGTCCCAGCGGCGCTTTCCTTCCTTCCTGCACACCATGGGCCACCTGGAAAGCCCACCTGCAGAGTGCTCTCCAAAGGGCTTGCTCGCCTCACTTCAAGGAGAAACACACCCACCTGAGCAGGGATGCCAGATAAAATGAAGGACTCAGTTAAACTGGACTTCCAGGTAAACAGCAATTTTTTTTTTCTTTTTTTCTGTGACGGAGTCTTGCTTTGTTGCCTGGGCTAGAGTTAGTGCCGTGGCGTCAGTGGAGCTCACAGCAACCTCAAAACTCCTGGGCTTAAGTGATCTTCCTGCCTCAGCCTCCCGAGTAGCTGGGACTACAGGCGCGAGCCACGATGCCTGGCTAATTTTTTGTTTCTATTTTTAGTTGACTGGCTAATTTTTTTTTTCTATTTTTAGTAGAGATGGGATCTCGCTCTTGCTCATGCTGGTCTCGAATTCCTGAGCTCAAGCAATCCTCCCGCCTCAGCCACCCAGAGTGCTGGGATTACAGGCGTGAGCCACCGCGCCCGGCCAGCAAATGTTTTTTAGGATAAGCGTGGCCCATGCGATGTTTGAGATGCACTGGGAAAGATTCGTTGTTTATCTGAATTCCAATCTAACTGGGCGACGTTTGCTGTTCTTGCTGAATCTGGCCGTCCTCTGCCGAGTCACGTTTCAGCCACGCCGGGCTGAGACCCCAGCCTCGGTGCCATCTCGGTTCGTGCTGCGTCCTTCAGAATGGCGAGTGAGCAAACAAAATTGGAAACAGCTCTGCGTGTGTACCGGTAGGGACCGGTCAGAGAAAGGACTGTAAGAAGTCACGCCGACGGGATGCGGCGCAGCTGCTAGAAAGAACGAGTGGATGTGCACACGAGGAGGGAAGAGCTAGAGGACAGTGTTAAAGAGAAAAAGCAAGTCTCAAAACAGCGTGTGGGGCAGGGATGTTCCAGGAAGGGGAAGCAAACACGCCGGACCAGCCCGAGGAGTGGCGTGGACGGAGGGGCTGGCAGCATCCCCCGTTTCGTTCCAGACCCCCTTACGCTGTGCTTTTTTGCTGTGTACTTGTGTTTTCTTCATCACAGCATAATTTTTAAAAATTTGCAAAGTCTGCCCCACCCCAGCCCCACTCCCTGGGGCAAAAAGGCCACAGGGTCGAGCTTCACCCCCGAGACTTGTGCTTTTCGTCACCGGATCTTCTTCTCCAGGCTGGAGTGCATCATCGCTCACTGCAGCCTCCAACTCAGGTGGTCTTCCCGCCTCAGCCTCCCGAGTAGCTGGCACTACAGGTATGCGCCACCATGCCTAATTTTCTCTTTTTTGTGTAGAGATGGGATCTCTCTGTTGCCTAGCTTGGTCTTGAACTCCTGGCCTCAAATGATCCTGCCACCTTTGCCCGAGTGCTAGGATTACAGGTGTCAGCCGCTGTGTCCTGTTCCATGAAGTGAGATTTACAAAGGTAGGAAGGGTACTGTGGTTCCGAACATACCCTGAGCAGCGGTACCTGTGCATGTTAATGTGACAAGCTGAGGGAGCCTGAGAAACGGCAGGTGCAGGAAGGACTCTCGGACCTGTGGCGTCACAAGACCCCCCTGGGAGAGGGGCCTCCCTACGCCCAGGGAAGGACTATGCTGATCTCTGCAGATGGAGAGACACCAAAAGGAATCTACAAGCAGGCCCAGGCCACAAGTTTCCCCAGTTCCCTGCCCTTGGTTCATACCCCTTCGTCCCGTTACGTTTTTCTGCGACTTTCCATTCGTCAAACCTAGCATTAACACACCCAGGCTTAACCGTGTCTTCGGGTCCTCCTTTGCTTATGAAGGCGCCACGTCACGTAAAACTTACATTAAGCGAGGTGGTATGTTTGTCTTTTGGTAATCCGTCTTCCGTCAGTCCGAGCTCCAGGGCCCCGGCCAATGAACCCAAGATGAGTAGAAGGAAAAGATACGTTTCCTGCCCTGCAGTTTGTAGTGGTGAGGACGGGACGTCACTGGCTGGAACATTCCGCTCAGTCTGGAGGCTGTGACAGATGCCCAGGACACAGCTGGCCAAAGGTAAAAATTCTCACCCAAGCCAGCCCCTGGATTTCTGTCTGCAGGGCCCGACCGGATGACAGTGGTAAAAGTCTCTGTCTTTTCCCTTTCGGAATTTGTACTAGCGGATGAAAACCTTTGTGAGAATTGGTGCTCTGGCCTGTCAGTGTCATGAATTTGATTTTGAGTACTCCTTGCCGATCCTTTGTTTCTTGTCTCTGTCTCTTGTGTCATTTGTCAAGAGGAGGAGAATTAGAGGATAAGATTCTCGTTTTGTTTCATTTTGTGTCCTGCGAGCTTGCCTTTGTAGCCAGTTTGGCTTTTGACTGCTGGGGGTGGGGACAGGTTGTTGGCCAATGGTCAGGGCGGAGTCCCAAGAATTTATAGGTGGCCAGACACAAGTGTGGGCTGCATCCCATTGCAACTGACCCTACCAACCGCCGCCACTCGCAGGGGCCTGTCTACGTCTGCCACCCTTCCGGCTGTCTTGGGAGGAACTTTGGTTGGAGGACTGCCTCTTGCATTCATGGTCATTACTGGTTCAAGTCACACTGGATTAGGTATTAACCTTTGGTTAAAAACAAAACAACAACAAAAAAATGTGGTTAAAGGAAACAAACTGGGCAAATAAAAAAATTTTAAGGGTCTTTCCCTGAAATTATTTTGTTATTTTTTTTGAAACAGAGTCTTGCTCTGTTGCCCAGGCTAGAGTGCCGTGGCGTCAGCCTAGCTCACAGCAACTTCAAACTCCTGGGCTTAAGCAATCCTACTGCCTCAGCCTCC